TAGCCTCTAAGCACAAAGGTACTACAAACTTTTCTTTCATCTCGCTACTTATAAGACATTCTCTTTCACTTATTTCATTTAGTTGGTCGATGTGGGGCTAACTACATGTGGTAAAGATATGCTTTTGAATTAAAGGAAATTTTCAAACATATCATTTCTTCGTTTAGCTAATACATGTTTTTTTCAAACACAAGGTAGGTCCTTCAATTCTTTTAAGACATGTCATATTTTTTTGGGTATATAATTTCTACCATGTTGAAATTTAGGTGAGTCATAGGACCCACCTTCCTATATACTAAACTCGTCTATGTTTGAAAGGATATTTTAGCAGTCGGTTAAAGATTATGACAAAAACATGTTGAATATTTCTTTATTGCAAGACAATGTTGTTGAACTTCCATAAAAATAAGGTCAATAAAGCACAACATTAAGTCCATCGGGCCTTATGGTAGGCTTGGATGCCTTTTGGGTTTTGTGGTTTTGGGCCTTGGAGAGAAGGAGACCCAATAAGGCAAAGGTAAAGGAGCCTTTTTACTTAAGTCAAAGACTAGGATTTTGGACCTTGAGTTAGATTGTGACCTAACTTCTAATTAGTGTTTTGTGCTTGTGTGATAGGGAGAGGAGTTCGCGAGTCATCTGCCGAGTGCGATTTGATACTCATAGTTTGAGGTGAGTCTTCCTTCGCAGTAAATGTGGGTCGAAGGCACCAATATCGGCCCAATAGTTATCTTATAGCATGATGGTTATCTTTGTGATAATTGTCAGTCATGTCTGTATTTGTATGATGACTCGGTGATAATTGTCAGTCATATGTAAGATTATTTTTATTGAAGAAAATGTTGAATACATTAGAGGGGAGACGAAATATGCATTGGAAGAAGAAAAGGAAAAAGGTTAGACATCAAAAGATGACAAAGAATCAAAAAGACCTAGGACTGAACTTGAATTTAAAACCATCCAACACACTTAATCATGTCAATACAATAGACGAGGGAGAAGAAGATGATGGTGGAATTCTTAGAAGGAAAAAAGGTAAGAAAAAATTAAAATCAAATGACGAATCTCCATGATCCAATATGAATTTTTTTCATGATACTGAAATAGCTACAAAAGAGTTTGAAGTTCATATGGAAGAAGTCATATATAAACAAAAATACAATGAAGTATGAACTTCAATAACTACATTTGGAATTATTAAAACAATATGAAATCAATTTAATAAGAACATACATATTTGAGTTTCACTTTAGAGAACACGAACTCCTATCAATGTTGTTAAAGATTTGAAGGAAACAAACATGTCTGACATAACTCTTCCTAAGGTGAAAAGTGTACATGAAATGGGACCACCCTATGTTAATCTTAAATTACGTCAAAGTCATATTGAAAATCTAGATCAAAACAAAACTCAACTTTAACCAAAACAACAATCAATCCAATTATATAAACCTAAAATAAAACCAGCTTATGAGAAACCAACCAACCAACCTAAACTACCTAAACAATATCCTAAAACCAATTTTTTTGAAAGCATAGAGAAAACCCATTAATAAATAAACAACCCATGGATCAAAGTCAATACCAAGAGTAAATTTTATTGTATCATCATCTCGACCAATAGAACTAGTGACAAAACTTGATAAATGAGTTATTCCATATATTGTGGATACTTTTCTCACAATCATTGATTACCCAAGAACTTTGTATGACATCATAACAAGATATCCAAAAATTAGGAATTGAAATGACTATGATAGGAAAATAGATGAGTTTGTGAGAATATTGCAATAATGAGAAGATTATGTATAATCTTTATCACATATTGTTGAAGAAAGTGATAAGAATAAAAATTTTAGAGAAAATTTTATTTTAATGAATTAGAAGATTGGAGCATAGATGTCTTAACTATTGATTTTATAGTTTTGAACCCTAAAGAATGGGTATATTTGGAAACATTTTATATAGAAAATCCAATAATGATCAGTGATAACTGAAAGATGCTTCCAGTTAAATTAAATATAATTTAATGTTACTAATAATTTTAGTCCTTTTAAGTAATACAATGAGCCTCAATAAAGGTAACGAATATGGTTGTTGCATGTGTATAAGAAATTATTTTTTGTTCACTTTGGAGAAACTTAATCTTAGTATTGCTCTTGCAAACTGTAATTAGGAATTCAATGAAGTAAAGAATAACATGAATGTTGATAGATGCATTGAGTTGAAGATATAGTTGATACGTTTGATCATGTAAGTTATCTTCATGATTTCCTTTTGCATCACATTTGATCACCCTTGCCTACTAAATAAGTTGTAAGGCTATCAAAACCATCAACAAGATGGAAGAAGTTCTGAACATACCTTCAAAACATAGACCTTGATGATGCATTATTATCTACTACGAAGGTTTAATGGTTACGGTCAACCTAATGCGGGTTCAATTGAAAATTTTGTTAAAGGGATTCTCAAGTTTAGGGAAGCATTAGATATAAAGAGGTTATGGTTTCCATATGGGGTTTGACAAGATGCAAACCAGATACATACTTGGATCTCTTATGCACTCAAGCATAATGATTGGGTACATATTGTATCTTTGTTTCCTAATGATTCTATAATGCCTAGGTCTACATTTAGTATCACAACATTAGTGAGGTTGTAAATAATAATAGATACTATAACTGAACTTTATGCCATGCTTGTTATTAGGCAAACACATTCGATTGCCTTTTACCTTGTCTTCTTGTTCCATATGTTCCTTTTCAATTAGTTCATTATGATGTATGTACATATCTTATTTTGGGTGTTAGTGACACTAAATATTATGTCTCTTGGATCATTATTCATATTTTGTTTGGGTTTACTTGTTAAGATCAAAATCTGAAGTCTTTTTTAAATTTCTCCATATTAGTGCTTATGTTAGAAATCAATTTCATTCCAACATTCAATCTTTCCAGCGTGATATAGGTGGAGTATTCAATAACTCTCATTTTATACAACCTTTTCGATTCAAACAAAATGAATAGTTGTTTTCCATGTCCATACACTTCCCAACAAAATAGGAAGTCCAAACGCATGCCCCTTATTATCAACGACATCATCTGCACCCTATTGTATCAAGTGCGCTTACCTCTTACCTATGTACAAATATATATATATATATATATATATATATATATATATATATATATGTTGTTAGTGGTCGCAGTCAAAGACCTAATATCAACTAAGACGAGACCTTAAGTGTCATTGTCAAACCTGCTATTATTTGTACCATTCTTAGCCTCACTATGTCTCATAATTGGCTAATTAGGAAACTTGAAGTGAAAAATGTGTTTTGCACGACCACTTTCGATAGATAGTTTACATGCAACAACCAACTGGTTTTAGGGACTCTATTTCCTAACCATGTTTGTCTTTTACAACGATCGTTATATGGCCATAGGCACCAAATGTATGGTTTCATCGTGTTTCTGACTTCGTAGCACACCTCAGTTTTATTCACAACAAATGTGATTACTTATTATTTATTCATCAACAAGGATGACCCGTTCCGTATTTACTTTTGAATGTGGACGACATAGTCTTGAATGCTTCCTCGCTTGAGCTTTTATGCCATATTACCATCATCTCGGGTTATGAGTTTTCCATGACCGACCTCGAGGACCTCAATTATTTTCACGATATTGTTGTTACATGTGATCTTCGTGAGACGTTTTATCCCAAAAAAGTATAATTTGGAAAATTTGGAACGAGAAAGTATGACAAATTGTAAGCTGACCTGGACCCTAGGTGATACCTTAGGCAAACTCGGTGATACTGGAAAACCAATACCATATTTGACTTTCTATAAGAGTCCTGTGAAAGCTTTACAACATGTTAATTTTAGCAGATATCACGTATGTTGTGTAAACATTTTGCTTATATATGCATGACCCCCTCATCGGGAATCAAATTTCATGGCCCTAAAAAGAATTATATGCTACATTTGTGGCACATCTCTCATGGCTTACATTTTTATGCATCGTTTTCGAGCATGCTTATCGGACCCTCCGATGCAGATTGGGTTGGATGGCCCAAGACATGTCACTCCAGATCCGATTATTGTGTCTTTCTTGAGCAAAATCTTCTTTCTAAGTTCTTTGAACATCATGATACTATTTGCCGGTGCCAAATCCAAATAAAAGAGCGTAACTAATGTAGTCACAGAAACTTGTTAGCTTCAAAGATCTTCTATATGAATTTTATCAATGGCCAAATCGATAATGTAACTATTGTTTATTGTGATGCTTTTAGTTCAATTTGCTTGTCCAACAACTCAGTTCAACAACAACTGACCAAACATATTGAAATCGACATTTTATTTGTTCGCAACAAGGTTGCCTCGGGTCAAGTACACATACTACATGTATCATTTTTCTTCCAATATGTTGATATCTTCACAAAGGGCTTTCCATCAACATTGTTTCTCGATTTTCTGTCCAATTGAATGTCCGAAAGAATACTCATCTTCAAACAGGGGCTCTTACTATGTCTTAAGGCCTTGTATTTTGTATCGTTTATACCAGCCCGATTGTTATGCCCAGTCCTTCTCCCTGTAATTATTCTATCCATTGATAATAAATAAGAGATATTGTTTATGGGAAAATAGCTGATTAACACTTTCCTCCTCCCATCACCTTTTACTTTAACAACAATTACCCTACATGTTTAGACCATGATGTTTGTTTTAATTATTAGTTTTTGTCAAATATGTCCCCTGTCGTAGATACAGTTTGTACTTTGACTTTAGGTCAAAATACCACTTTTACCCCTTAAAATCCACAACTGCGCTTAATTAATAAACTCGATTCCTTGATTTGAGATCATCAAGTGGAGTAAACCTTAACCGAAAATAGTGGTTGCTAGACATACCAATCATCAATATTACAAAAAATACATCACATTAAATCATCTCATCCGTTAAATATTGCTTAAATTTATTCACTAACTATCAACCTAACGACCTAATGCAACAACACGCAATTACCACATCCAAGCTACTCATACGACGTGTTCAATAATCAATATAACGTGCTAGTCCACATGCAAGTCAAGATAGTCAACACCACCATCATCCGTAACTGCAACGATCCCCGCACCTTTATTGCATTATTCGGATGATAACCTATTCCCATCAGTGGGGACTTCGGAGTGACTGTCGCCATTGGGGAAGCTGCAACAAACAATTAATACACAACATAGCATCAATATCCAAAGTCATATCAAATATTTGCAACTACATTTGCATTTGTTACACGTGTGACAAGACTGCACTAGACCAAACTATACAAACTTTCCGAGATTATTTATTTATGATGAGAATGATGAATACATTTACGTCTTTTGCATTAGGAAGGATGAAAAATAGGTATTTTGTCCTATTGATATCCATTCGAGTCCTCGCCTCATTCTAATGCATATCAAATTAAACGCAGTTATGTTCGGTACTTACAAGCAACAGTAGAATTGGGTAGTGGTATTGGTGATCGACCCTAGTGAAACTTGTGGCGTAGGTGACACCGATGACAAAGGAGATCCTTCATAAAACCAAAAAATGTTAGCCGATTAGGATCTTAATTATAGTTATATATATCAAGATTAATTATGAAGAGAATTTATAAACCTAACCTGAACAAGAACTAATATCGAAATTGACACTACACATAAGTGGAAGTTGCATGGCAAGTGTCGAGTTAATCGGGAAGCTCGAGCTCAAACCAGAGTTGTTGAGCAAGAGGCACAGGCAACGAGGCTGCTGTTCATTGACATGCATTAGATTATCGCAACATAATTGTGTCGGGGTATTGGATACTCCTTGAACGAATGGTGCACACAGGGCGAGGGGGAAGGATACGAGGCCCACATTCTGCGATTGTAGGACTTAGTGGGGAGTTGGATTGGGCAATGATGGGAGATGGAAGGTATGTGATCGTTATGATCAATAGAAGTAGTAGCAGCACCATTGGGGCGGTGGTTGTGGGAGGAGTGGAGGAGGAAGACATGGTGGGGGCGGCGTGCCATTATGGAGGCTCCGACGTGAGTATATATAGGAGGAGTTCATTAGTTGAGTGTGAGCTGCAACATGCTTTTTGACTATGGAAATGGATACTGCATGTGTTGGTTTAGTTGGGTTTTAAATTTTTAATAGGGTGGGTTACTTTTTCAACTATTATATATGATATTATGTATCAAAATAATAATTAAGAATCTTTTAAAGTCCTTTTTTTATATATAAATCGGTATTTTATTGGTTATTAGTAATCTTTATTTGATAATTTAAAAAAGAAATTGAAAAATTGAAACTCAACTAGCACCGTAAGTGAGATTTACACGTAACGTCTCCATAAAATTGTCCCAACTAAATAATGAGATCCATATACAAATACAACATGCTCTAAACATGAATTTGACCCAACTATTTCATGAAATCCACACAAATTTACAAAACATTCTCTAAAAAGTTTAACATAACCAGTTGATTTTAACGTCCTATACGAAAAATAAAAAATGGATCCTAATATATATATATATATATATATATATATATATATATATATATATATATATATATAAAAGAAAAATAAACTAAAAGGTAAACTGTCATAAGGAAA